CCACCCAGCTCTCCACCCCCACCTCCACCCTTCACCATGCGAATAATCCCACTGCATGTCGGCCCTGCAAGTCCACGCCGTCGACTAGCTTGACGCCATGCCGCCGTACAGAGACGCCGCCCTCTCCTGTAAAAATTGCCACAAGATATACTCAGATCTCCCCCCCATCCTGCCGCGAGTGCGACGCGCGAAGGTAAACAAGTTGAATGTAGCGGCGTTGTATGTAGTGTGTTGTAGACCCCCTCGTAAAACCCTTCGCCGCCCCCGCGCCGCCGCCCCCTGTCAGACTTCCCTCCCCCTTCACTAAGCCCGTGGCTAGATGACGGGCTTACGCCGGAAATGAACAAACCCGCCGGGGAGAGCTTCCGTCAACACGCTGTGGTGCCGTAGTCGATCCCCTGCGGACCTCGATGCCCGGGCGGGGCGGGGGCGGGGAGGGCCGCCCAGGCGACAGCACGCCGTCAGCCACGTGTCTGGCGCCGGCGGCAGCCTTCAGTCCCGGCCTTCCCCCGGCCGGGGTCAGAGACCGCCCGACTAGGCTCTGCCGACTGATTCCGAAGAACCCTCTTCTATACCTTCCTTGTAGATCCGTCCTTGTCGCACTCGTAGGGCAGCGCCCCTTGAGGTCTCTTCGGAATCAGTCTGCTGGGCAGCACCGTGGTGCACTCCTGGAGCTCCACGGGGCGGTGCCAGGAGGTGGGGAGGGAGGGAGTCGCACTCTTCGCCTTGAGCAGGCACATGCTCCTGACTTCTGGCTTTCGGCCTCACCGCTACGCCACGGCGCCGCAGAGGGAGCGAGCAAGCGGAGACGAGGAGGAGCGAGAGGGAGCGAGCAAGCAGAGACGAGGAGGAGCGAGAGGGAGCGAGAAAGCCGAGACGAGGCGCGAGGGAGCGAGCGAGCTGGCGATGACAATAGTTTTCTCTATAAATGACTTCCATTAATAATCGTTCCATTAGCCAAAGCAATCTCTGCGGGGGAGGGAGGGGGTGCGGTGGGGGTAGTTTGCTGAGTGCGGAGGGTGATTCAAGAGGAAGGAGCGGTGGGGCGCGGGGTGAGGGAGGGGCCCGGGGGGCTGCCCGGGCGGGCGTCGCCTTACACTTTGGGCTGGTGACTCAACACCACCGGGTTTGGGCGGCCTACCGATGGGGCAAACTCCTCCGTTATCCGTGTCTTGCGTACCTTCCTGCGAAGCCCGCGCCTATCACTGCGGAAGTACCGGAAGTACCCCTCCTGATACTTCCCACTTCCCTTGGCCGGGGTCGGAAGTCCCGGCCCGGTCGGGTCGGCCGAGGAGGTGAGGTCATTTCCGTCCGAAAGTAGACGTGAGGCCGCCGTTGTGGTCGGCTGAGAAGAGGAAGGAGAAGGGGGGGGGGGGTCAGGAGGGGAGTGGGAGCAGGGGGTGCAAAGTGCCTGACCGGTCCATAGCCACCTTGGCCTCGCCCCCGCAGCACTCTGGACCCCCACACAGAGGCACCGCCCC